TAGATCCAGACAGATCGAACAGCAGAATTTTTCTTGGTCCAGCTGAACTCCTTGCTGCGCCATTTCCCCTCTCAGTGACAGCGACTGTCTGAGTTTCACTTACAGCGCACACATTTCACACAATGTTGTACACACCCTTTCTTATAACCTGCAGATCTATGAAGGGCAGGGAACCAATAAATATCTTTCCAGGGTGGAGCTCACTGTGTGTGAAAAGTTTTCTGGCTTTACTTCATTCCACAAAGGGAATGAACATAGGGTGTGTCATCCGTCATTTAGAACATGCAGTAAGGATAATTAGACTTAAAGGTCCAGTGCGTAACTTTTACGAGTATTTATTGGCATAAATGTTAGATAATATTAATAGGTATGTTTTCATTGGTGTTTAATCACCTGAATATAGAGACCACCATGTTGAACTGCCATGTTTCTACAGTAGCCCAGCACGGACAAACCAAACATGGTTTCTTTGGGTTTCGGGGCCACGCTCATTCCCAGTTCGTCCAATACAGACACCAGCGGTATTTAGGTGTATTTAAATTTAAACTGTTTTTAAAATGGTTAAAATCAGCTCCACCACGAGCAGCTGACTTAAAGTAACTTATTTTAGTTTTACATTTTTTGTTTACATTTGTAGAACCATTTCACTTAGTTTCTGAGTTTTATATTTAGCTTGCTTTCTGTTTTATTGATACTCTTGATTTTAAATTGTTGCCTAGACTTGACGTGATCACTTTGTGGAAGTTAATGGGGATGCAATTAAAGAATAAATAAAGAACACAATAGACCTTTTTCACAGCAGCCTTTTTGACATGAAATAGTAGGGTAAACACAGGTGTTATTAATAATACTTGGATTAGGTTATAAACCATATTTTTAACAGGTAATTAGTTATTGAATTTTTTTACATTTTTAAAGTAACCCAGTCTGATCTGATTTCCATATTTAGAAAGTATAGAAGAGACACCAGTATGAAAACACTGTTAAACAAAACACACAAAATAAAACCACTATTACTGCTGCTGTTATTAAAACGAAGCTTTTATTTTGAAGGTTCCGTTAGGACAAGCCGGAAGTAAACACTGTTCACATGCAGTTTCCGTTCCAGATCCAGTGGGACGAAGGTTTCTTCTTGGACTTTAACCTCTGAATGTTTTGTCCTTTTACTCTGTAGCTACCTTTACATCTCCTCCAGCTATGAGTGCAATCATTCCCCGGATAGAGCAGCTGTCTGCCAGGGTGGTTCGGGTTTTGGGCTGTAACCCGGGACCGATGACCCTGCAGGGAACCAACACTTACCTGGTCGGCACTGGGGAAAGGTGATATTACACTAACGTTAGTGTTTAACTGTGCAAAAGGAAGCTTACTGACATTTTCCATTTTAAAACGACTATTTTGGGCAATAACGTGAAAGTTAAAGCCTCAGTAAGCCCCTTTTTAGCTCGTGGAAAAGGACGTCACGCCAAATTCCATTCAAATTTTTATAAATTTAATGTTTTCTTGTTTGTAGGTAAAAATACTTCACATATAGACCAATACTGCAAATGTATATTAGGTTACCAGGACCCATTGCTTAATTCGGCTTAAAAAAATATTAGACCAGGTTTTAAAATATATGCATTGGCAGACTGGAAGTTATACATAAGTAAAAGTTTGATTTTATTATGTCATAAAGTGATATATACAAAACTTAGTTGCAAAAATATACTCAGTATGCCTACACAGTACAGAAATACACACAGCCAACACAAAAACGCCTAATTCAACAGAGTATGTGTGACAAACTAGTTAACAAACACTGGCCAATGTGTCAACACTGAAGAAATGCTTCCTTCCTCCTTTTTGAGTATTTCATAGTCGTTATAACAAAGAAAGAAAATAAAAGCAACAAACCACAGACTCTACAGCAGATTTGGTGTATGTGAATATACAGATAATGACTTTTAAAGCCTCCACTGTGTGTCTCCTGTATTTAAAGTGTGATTATATTCCAGGCGAGTGCTGATAGACACCGGAGAACCCGGTGTACCTGAATACATCAGCAGTCTGAAACAGGCACTGAACCAGTTCAACACCAGCATCCAGGAGATCATCGTCACACACTGGCATCACGACCACACAGGCGGCGTGGAAGACATCTGCAGGGACATCACCGGTGAGGACAGTATGCGTGGGACAGGTTCAATACTGTGGGGCCACTACAGTATTATCTGAAATCGAAACTTTAAAGGCCAGTTTCTTTTTTCTAATAATCAAAAATTCAACTTTTCAAGTCGGCTGTCCCTCCTGCAGGTTCTGAGGTCCGAGTCAGCAAACTTCCTCGCTCCAGCCAAGTCAGAGAGACAGCGGGAAACAAAAGCTTTACTTACCTGAAAGACGGAGATGTTGTCCAGACGGAGGGGGCCACACTCAAGTCAGTTGAATTACATTTTAAACCGGCAGGACTTTCACAAGATGTACAAGAAATAAAAACAACAACCAACATAAAGGATTCGCACTCGGGAAACACAGTTAAAAAATAATATTAACGTAATTAAACAGTTCTAATACATACACACATAAGTGTTACAGTTATTTGAGCAGAAAACAATGTTTTATATTTCCCAGAGTGCTGTTCACCCCAGGCCACACTGACGACCACATGGCCTTGCTGCTGGAGGAGGACCAGGCGCTCTTCTCTGGCGACTGCATCCTGGGCGAAGGCACGGCCGTGTTCGAGGACCTCTTCGACTACATGAAGTCTCTGAAGATCCTGCTGGACTCTGAGGCCGACCTCATCTACCCTGGTGAGTGAGCACTGGTTTTCTTTTTCAACCTTCATTTATTCATTTATTTTCCATCCCTTTAATATGAATTCTTACAGTTTTTTTTTTTCAAATGTAGTCACTATTATTCAGGATGCAATAGACGTGTCTCCTCTCCAGTCACAGGTTGTGTTATTAGGTGCTGAACCATGCAACAAACACTGTTGCAAGATGGTGAATCACCAATTTACAAATGAGAACGGAGAGATCTATGCTGTGTCCTAGGAATTTAGAAATCTACTGCAACAGGGAAGTGACTGTCTGACAGTAAATAATGTGTCAAGATAGTTATCTGGAGTGTATTGAGCTACGTAAAGACATGTTCCTACTTCCGTGCACACTTGGCTGTAATGTGCACACATTACGCATTCAGTGGCTGGTAGTATATACTATGCAAAAAAAAAAAGCGTTATGCAAAACTTTGCAAATGTTCACTGCTTGTATCCGGCAGTAGGTGCCACACCATCTCTACTGAGTGCACTCACATTATTATGAAACTTTTTTTTTTTTTTAAATGTAGTTCCATAAAATGTAAGAAAATAGAGAAAAATGCTCATCATGCCTTTCTTAAAAATTACAGTAATATCAAACTAAGAAAACATCCAAATCTTCACATTTGAATATTTGATAAATTACCTAAATCTGTTTGTCAATTAATAAAAGTTATTGTCAATTAATTGTATGTTGATTATCTTTGACTAATATTTATATAAGACACTTTTCTTCTTAAAATAAAACTTTCAACCAACAGCTGTTGCTCTCTGGTTGTATGGGAAGCCGCACATCTTGTCAATCGTTCCAGTCAAACCAAAACAAGAAGCTTCTGCAGTCATTTAATTTTATACAATCGAATCTAATAAATACATCAAGATTAAATGCAACTACAACTTAAAATTGTGTCCCTGCCTCTGATAACGCAAGCATCCACCTCTCTAAAGTCGTTCAGATGTTTGTAGAATAACTGCTCCTTCTCCCTGTGCAGGTCACGGACCCGTGGTTCAGGATGCTGGCTCTAAGATCAGACATTACATCAGCCATCGAGACCAAAGAGAGCAGCAGATCCTGGCAGCCGTTCAGGATGGAGCAGGAAAGCCTTTCTCCTCAATGGAGCTCGTAAAGATCGTCTACAAGGTCAGGACAAAACTGGCTGTTACTTTGATGCTTTTTGCAGGCTGTAGTGAAGGCCGACCGCTGTGAGTAGTGAGGCTACGGTTAGCAGCGTAGTACTCCGTAACCAAATTTGGACTGTTGTAAAATATAGTCTAGCTTGTTCAGTGTCATCCACGCTAGATAAAGATAAAAAATAAAAATAAAAAAAGTCCTCAAGTAAACACTAAATTATGATACTAAAGCTAAGATACGTCTATGCAAAATATGTAGCCTGCACGCCGTGTATATTGAGGCGATTACGCTCAAAGGTTTTGCTTGTTTTTGTTCGGAGAGAAATGACGGCTGCTTCTTACGGCTTCTCTTCCAGGACACCCCTGAATACCTGCACCAAGCAGCCAACGTGAACCTGCTCCATCACTTGAAGAAACTGGAGAAAGAAGGCAAGATCAGCGTGGGTACGTCATTTCTCACTACCACTGCATAAAACATACTGGGAGAATTTCACTGGGAGCATCAGAAACCAAACTAGACAGATCTGGCAGTGCAGATAGATTTGGTAGTATGTGGGATTATTAAGGTTAAAGGTCTGTGAAAATTGATTGCATGTGCAGAAAATTAGGCTTTGCACTCGCTGACTGTTACAATATGATTGACCTACAATATAAATCTAAACTGTTGTTGTTTCCTCAGCGAACGAATCTTCACAGAACGTCAAATGGAAGAGTAACCTGTGATGCCCTCAGAGAAGAACTTCACTCGAACTGACCGCAGGATGATAATGAAAATCCATGTGGTCGATGATTTTTCAAAAGAAAGTAATCAATTATGGTTGAACGCCACACATCTGCTGATTGACACACGTTAATGGACAATCACACTTGTTGCCTTGGATGTTTCCTGACCAACAACCGTGCTCAGCAGGCCTGAGCTGCAGCCCGTGTTTGTCTGAAGGTCGGCTGAACTTTGCCTGTGCCAGAATGAGCTCTGTCATACAATGTGATCAATGTGCCACAGTGCCCCCATCTGCCTAAATTAAATTGCTTCTCTCCCTTTTCTTCTGATTTGTTGAAGGCAACAAATTTAGCTTCTTTTGTTGAATTTAGCAGACTCTAACTCCAACCCTGAACCCAACCGTGTAGAACATGATCCTAAACAGCTATTTGATTAGTGAAATAATCATTTTATTAATGGAGTTTGGTACGCAATCTTGTCTTTTTCCTCTTGCAGGACTTTGTCAACTAATGTAAATCATCCTTTCAACTCAAGAAGAACAATTAACCTTCATATAAGACAGATATTAAGAGGTGTAAGCTTACAATAAAGTACACGTAGTCCACCAAACCTAATTTATAGACCCAATGTTTTGTCAAAGCAGTCTTCCTTAGGCTTTTAAGCATGTGCATATGTAGGATATACAGCAGTATAGTAATATACAGCATACACTGTATTGTATATCACTGAGTTTTGCTTATGTGTGAAGTCTTGAGGGTGAACAACAAAACATTTGTTCTGTTAATGAACTATTTGTTAATGGTTGGCGCCTCCCCATTACTGGTGTGTGTTCACTTTATCTCAGGATAGGTTTTCACATGCACACTGAGCAGGATTTTCCTGGACTTTAATTGTGTTTACCTGGTTAATATCTGGGATGGAGGCACTTAGTAAAGAAATTTAAAGTAAATATTCCAGTTAAGTTCTCAGAGACTGTTGATGGATGCTTTTACACAATGAGGTATATATTTCTATCCAGACAACCATTTGGAGTGCTGTCACCTTATTAAAACTTTTATTTAATGTCTTTTTGTCTTTTCAATGCTGCACACATTCCCAGTCGGTCACTAGGTGGCAGTATTTACTCACTAAATTATAATTTACACTAATACAGCAATGTATGCAAATGTTTCAAATATTTTTAATTTGTTAAAACTTAATAAATGTAAAGAATGTGAACATGTGTTGGGAAAGATTGTTAAACAATATTAAATTATTCTACTGTGAAGTGCTGTTGTGTGTTTCTGCTCATGAGTTATTTTTTTTATAATTATTGAAGCTCATCGTAAAGTTCATATAAAACTAATGAAAACTGAAGTTTACCACTTCAAAACAACTTCAAACAGTTGAATTTACTCTACACTAAATCATGATGATCCAATATTCCAATGACTAATAATCAGATCTTTAGCGTGAACTTGACCCGTGGTTGACCTTCAGTTATCTGTTTTCATTTTGACTAACAGCTCTGATGCATTTTGACTGTTTAGGGACTTTTTTTCATAGATGTGGGAAAAGCTTTTTCTCTCGTATCTGATTTTTTCGACCTAAACGCCTCTTTTGTGGCACTTATAATAAAGAACGTCAGTGGATGAAATCATGCAGCTCCTTGGAAGTTAGACTACAGTCCCACATGTCTAAAGCAAACACTGCTGAACTTAACCTGAGTGTTTGGTGGTGCTGTGAGACTACAGAGATAAATGGAATAAACACAGATTAGAATATCTGAAGCTTACAGTCATATGAGAGTGTTGGTGGTTGAATATGAGATTGAGTCACAGTAATGACATACACCAAACATCGTAATAAGGTTATTATTCACCAATGATTTGCTCAGACGCTATAAATCAAGAGTTATTTGATATTTAGGTTGTCTTTTAACATATGGCCAGGAATCTGGTAATTTACAGTATTTCTCTTGATATACTGAGAGAAAAATATATTAGAAATACTATTTCCTTTAAAAAAGATAATATAATATAGACGGTAACTTGCAGGGCAAGATTAAATCCTAATAGGAATATTACAACAATATCTTAGGAACACACTAAAAGGTTCCTTAAAATCCCTTTATAGTCACATTAAGATCACAGAAAATTACACAGAAGTGAAATAGTGCTGAAATAAAAACACTAAAAAGTATGATATGGTCACTTTTAACATTCTTTTAACAAGTCTTTATAGGAATATTAAGTTCATATTTTAGTTTTTGTAAGACTATAAGACTTATTACACACACCTTTCATCTGCTTATTAAATATCCGTACTAGTTAATACTTGTATAGCAGCTTTTATAAAGAAACTTTGTCCCGTTAATCATTCTCTTGTGATCAAACACATTGCTCTGAAGCTAAATCAATTATTTTTCTTACATATAATTATTAAATATAGCAACTTCTGATCAACCCATATCAATATCAGGCCTCAAGGACCAATGTGTATTCAGTGGCATACAGCGATAAAGTGTCTCACCGTCCAAGCGTGATACCTTATTTTTAATATAATTATATTCCATTTCTGCCTATAGATCCTCCTAAATGTTACACACTGAACAAGGTTCATTTAACAATGTCAGGTTAGCCATGCCCATTTTTTGGATTAAGCACCACCTACTTTTGGAGTTAAGCACCGCCCACTTTTGGAGTTAAACCCCGCCCATTCCGAGTACAGACACAAATACAGATAATTATTTGGTTGAACAGATAACAGATAATGTTGTACTCGCTCATCGCTACCAAATCGCACATAATAATGCGTCCTAATAGTAATTCAGTTTCAAACTTATTACTTTTTATTTAATTAAACAAAGATCAACAATCCCAGACAGCCACACAACTTAACTCAAAAAGGCGGGAAATAAATCTAAAATACAGAGAAATAATTGGATTAAATAATCCAAATTATATTAATTTAAAAGTATAACACATTAGTTTAGATTTTAGTATTATGCATTAGTTAAAGAGTGTGTGTGAGGTGGAGAGAGACTGGTAGAGAGACAGCAGTGTGGTAATGAGATGAGTGGTGGTGGTGAGGGAGGGAGGGAGGGAGCGCGCGGCAGAGCGGCGCGGCGGACCCCGGAAGGAGAGGGCGGGGAGGGCGAGGAGGAGGAGCGACCGATGGGGTCCTAGTCGTGGGTAAAAGCACTAAACAGCGAGGAGGCTCTGCGAGCGAGCAGGGACACCATCGCGCGGTCGTCGCCCTGGGGACGCACCATGGGGCGGCCTGGCCAGATCCGGCTCTGGACCGAAACCATCACCGCACAAGCCTGCCGACAGCCCACGCACCGGCCGGGCGGCTCCTCAACTCTCCGAGCCGTAAGCTCTTCCTTGTCCATTTCTCTCTGCGACCCCTCTCCTCATCCTCTCCTCATCTCTTCGCTCTCTCCCTCCTCCTCGTCTTACTCCTTCAATCCCACTCCACAAACATAATAATAATAACAATAAGACTCCTGTAAGTGTTGTTACACCGAGGTTATCGCACTTTTACGCGCTGACATTACCGCTATGATACCTTTACGCGCGGGTATGAAATCATATCATAGGGTTAACTAGTCCGGGAAATAACGTTAGAACCGACCGGTGTGTGTATCGTGCAGGTTTGTGTGTGTGTGTCCTCGGTGTTTTTAGCCTCTTAAATGAACTGTTAACGGGTGCACACATGCGGACTTATCAGTGGAAATTGATTGACTCAAATCTTATCGATACCCGAACCGGGGTTTTTACGCGTAATTGTCTCCAACGCAGACGGATACACACACACACACACACATAAAAAAGCTACTTTGTGACGGTTATGTGGCCAAAAATACATCCGCTGTCAGGTCTTTTTTTGCTGGTGTTTGTTTAACGTGTTCAAACAGTGTGTGTGTGATAACTGCACAAATAACCCCCCCAAACAGGACTTTGCTGTTTAACTTTAACAGTTAGCTGTTGAAAAAAAAAACAAAAAAGCCCTTCCTTGATCAACAGCAGCGACACAAACTGCGTGTGTGTGTGTGTGTGTGTGACAGCCGACGTTAGTTTCGTCCTCTTGCTGTGGTCGAAGAGAGAGAGGATGTGAACCACAACCATGTTTCATTTATAGGTGGGTTTTTTTTTTAAAAGGTGTTTAAGGCGACGTTTGTTCGTTTTATAGTGTGAAATGTGACTTATTCCCGGTTGATATTGCTCCGACTTCCTCAATCAACTCGAGCGTCAAGTGGAAAACAAGTGTACCCGTGCGGTTGTTTCAAAATAAAAGTCTTTAGTTTAGTTGGGCATTATATTAGATAACTTGAAGGTAAAGAGTTGTACCAAGAAACGAAAATTCAATTTAAAGAAGGGGGGTTTATTATAGGGCTTCAGCTGTTTAGCTGTTTAGTCACACCATTTTACAGTTTGCATATTGCACTTATACTGCGATTAATTGCGCAGCACTACTTTATTGGCATGGGAAACATTCATGTTTACATTGCCAAAGCAAGTGTAAAGTATATGTATTTACAGATTAACTTACAATAAAGCAGAAAAATATATATAAAAAAAGTATATTTGTGGGATTCTAGTAGATCTATTGCTTTTATTTTGAAGACCAACGTCCGGTCTTGTTCGTGTTAATTCTTGTGAGTGTGACACAGTTTATCGATCAGCCCCGGGCAGTGGGCAGTGATGTGAAGAGACTCACAGCTCCATTATATATATATATATATATAGTATCAGGTGGAAGTAGTAAACTTGCAGTGATATTGGCAGTTGTTTAAAATAATGTACACTGGGGAAAATATACATGACAGAGACAACAACTGTTGACATAAACAATAAAGAAGCAGCGTGAGGGCCTTTTATTTTGTAAAACAGAATGTAAATCAAACATAGAAGTCATCTTTTAATCTACTTATCAAATCAGATTGTCCGCAGACAAAGTTCTCTCTGTATCAGCACATACACTGTAGACCGTCTGTGTTTGAAGATGCACGACCCGAGGACACTGTTAACTTATTCCTCTTTCAGTGTATCCGTGCTTTACATTCTGTGTGGCAGCTGGTTAAAAGCTTAATGTGCACACTCTCACCAGCCAATGCGAACTAAAACTTGCACACTCTTTGCACCGCTGGGCGTCCACCAGATGTCTTCCATATTTTTCTGCTCTGAAATATCACACTGATGTTTTAGCTTTTTCCCCGAGGCACATCGACCACTTTGTGCCTCTCTCTTTTGTATGATTTGGACTTTAAAAGCAGCGGGGACGAGCCGCGGTGCATCGTTACTGTCTGACAGTCAGCTCGGCCTTCGCCAGTGCAGGTTCAGGAATTCGTCCCTATTTGCTGTTGTGCTGGTATGTTACTGTAGAGAACCTGTAAGTTTGCCTACGTGACAGGTGCCAATGGTCTCCTCTGGATGTGTTATCTTTGAGGGCTGGACTCATGATTTTTTTTTAAAGCTTATTTGCTCCCTCCTGCACCCCAAAGTGAACTTTGAAAAGGATTGCAACACCAGAGTCTGTGTTCATCCACTCTGAGAGATAATTTCTGTCATCCGTTGGGCTTTTTTTGTTTTCTGAAATGACTGAGGGCGTTTTCATGCTGTTTATGCGTCTACACAGTTCATTAACATAAAACAAACACTGTGCTCGGCTATTGGAGTTTAGTATTTTGTTACTTCTTCGTTATAATGCCGTCAGCTCAGCTTTAATGTACCGGGGATGAATATCAGTACGCTTCAATACCGTTTCAATGCCAAAAACTACCTTATAGTGCTGCGGCTAGAGTGCAGGAATGTATTTAAGACCCAGATCTTAACATGAGATTGGCAGTTTGCCCAGTGAGGGATTCTTAGTGGCTTGAATTCACTGAACCACGTGAGGGCTCAAATAATGCCCTGACCAATGACAACAGCAGCAGCAGCAGCAGCAGCAGGAGGAGGAGGAGGAGGAGGAGGAAGGGCAGAGGCTTGACTGTGCAGTTCTCCATAGCTGGTTTTCTACCAGGTCTTATCCTCAGCAAGCTAAAGGAACACATATGCTCCTTTTTTAAAACCCTCACCATCAAAT